GCACGGGGGCTCTGTGCTTTGAAGAGACATGTTCTTTCTTACATCAAAAAGGCAATGGCATTTTCAAAACCCATTTCATTAGAGATGAACATATCTGATGCAACAGAATGGTTCAAGAATGGTGTCAAGTTCAGATAATTCTTTCAACCTAGAAGGTGGCCTAGAAAAACCTTCCATAAATGCCCCTCCACACAGGAACAAGATTTGTCTTCCTCTTGATTATTTTGATGATGTCAGTTCTCCATTTAATTTCAATAACAATAGATCATCATCTAAAATTCTAACCCTAACCGTGTACTGCAAGGGCTTTCAATTACATCCTATTTCAATTTATCTCAAAACTGTTTCACCATCTTCTGAAGTAAGATAAGCCTAGTTTTCTCAACCAATAAGCACTATACTAGGCCCTTTTATCAGCAATATAAAAAAAGACACTGACCTTCTCTTGAGGACTTTGTAACTTGTAATCATTCCCCCTCCTTTCCACCTACAGAAGTCACTTTTCTGAGTTTCTTTGAAATCAAGATCACTTAGGTAAGTCACTCTGTGGTAGGCAGTTAGACCCATGTGAGCTGAGCAAGGATGACAGGCCAGGCACAGAGAAGGTCACCAGGACTGAAAGCCCCGGGGGCCTACCAATGGGCAAAACTGGGAAAACAAGGACCTGGCCCCCAGGGTGACCTTTCCTCCCCTTGCCTATTGCTAGTCAAGCCAGTTAGACCCCCTTAGAGTGGGGAACAAACAATGGGGCTGGAGAATAACCCTTAAGCATTAAGCCCCCAGGACAATGAAGTTCTGACCCACGACAAATACATTTAGGCCTCAGTTTCGTTTCAGCTCCAGGCCCAGAAAAGCAGCAAAACCAGAAAGCAATGCCATGGCTGTACTGACTATCCTGGTGTTGACTAACCAGGGGAGACCAGGACCCTGAAAGGACACATCTGGAAAGCTGACAAAAATTCTATTGAGACCCTCTCTTACAACACCCCCACCCCCCAAAAATCTCCACCCTTACAAGCCCTTAGGACAGAGGACCCGGGAGCTCTCCCTCTTCTCCCCGCCGGATGCATTACCTTTACCCTTCTTGCGCCTGTGTCATTTGTTTCCTGGGCCAATTCCTTCTACAGCTCACTTCGTCTGCCTCAGTGAAGTTCTAAATAAACTTTTTCTTTTAGTTTGCATCTTGGCCCTGAATTCTTTCTTAGCCCAAACTCAAGTACTGAGGTTGCTGAACCAAGATCCGGTCTGAACACCTGGTACCATTTTTGCAGCCAGTAACTCCATCAACCCTATCCCTCTTCCCCTTCCAGTCCTTCCTATTTTTAAGTGCCATAGAGGGCACAAGATTTGGAATCAGAATATCAAAGTTCCTATCTTGGTTCTGCCTGACCCTGAAATATTCCACCATACCTCTCTCGGTCCTGTTTTCCATCTGTAAACTGAAGTGACTAAGGACTTTCACCTTAGAATGCCTAGTCCCTCTGGGCACCCCATTCTATTCTCCCTCACTTATCCCACTTAGACGACCTTTCTTTTTTTGTTTCCAATCACATATCACAGAGGTTTTAGAATTGCAAAGAAAGTAATAATGGTTAATACACCCAAATTACAGTGTAGAATAAGGAACTTAACTCTAAAGAGTAATTTGCCAGCCAGTCAATAAATGCTTTGGTTTCTGTGCTGTACAGTAGGCCAGGAGACAGTTGGGGGACACAGTTTGCAAAGAGAGCTTAACACTCATCAAATCCCCCTCTTTGCCCATTGGAATTCTAGTCACCCTCCAAAGTCCATTTAAGTCCTAAAGTGTCCAGGAAACTTCTCCCAATCACTTCCGTCTACATTAATCATTTCCCTCTTTGAATACTGATGCCTGGGGAGGGGGAGGTGTAGGGGGGGTGATGCCAAAAATATTTAACAACTGGGACCACAATGGTACCAACCAATCAGAAAGGATGTTGGACTAATCAAAACACACATGGCCAACGGGAACTGCTGATTGAACATCAGACCTACCTATTACTACCAATACCAAATAGCAACCTCAAACCCCAACACAATTTTCTCATCTGATCTTCATGACCTTATGAATTAGGAAAAATAGGTATCATCCCATTTCTGCATAAATAGAGATGAAGCTGGTCGTAACACTCAAATATAATAACCAACTGCTTCTTTCACACCATATGACTTGTTCTGAATATACATCATATTATCAACGAATATTATATAAACTATACTTACATATAAAAGTATATTACATGAATGCTCAGCTCAGTCAAATGGAATTCATTTAATCAATAAGCATTTACATAAGTGGAACAAAATATAAAATATAGAGCTAAGTTCTGAGAGCATAAAGAAAATAAAAAGCATAACCCAGGCCTCTGGGTAACTATAACATGCTCAGGAGTATAGTTAAATAACAGTGCAGGGAGGCAGAAATAGGCAACAAAAACTGAAGTGCTATAAAGTTGAGGGGAATAGAGTACAGGAAGTCACGACTGAGAACATCTCTCTTCACACTCTCAAAAGGAGAAAAATTAAGTATGTAGTGAAAAGACTGCAAAGTCAAAAGTGGGAAAACAGAAATTGCTGGAATTGGGGGTGTGCAATAGTGAGAAATGCTGGATACTCAGGGATGGCCCTAATCATAAGCCTCAAATGCTGCTCTAAGTGCTGAATACAAATGGAAAATCTTGTAAATCCTCTGAAGGGATGACTGAGGAAGATCAGCCTGGCAGTAGCCTATAGAAAAGCCTAGAAGAGAGAAACACTGTAGAGCAATTAGATTTGAGGGATAATACAGGCAAGACTAAAGTGATGGATGCATACAAAGAAGAGACAGGCATTCAAGAGGTTATTAGTATAAAGAAGAGCTGGGTTTTAGGCATGTTTTCAAAGAAAAAAGTTATAAAATGGAAGAAAGGGAACAAACGGCATTCTCACATGAGATACACCTGTAGACTTAGTGGTACTAAACTGTGTACTAGGGACAGGGAACCAACTTCCCTAGAGAAATCTGTTGAAGAGAACAGAAACTAGGCAGAGAAATAATAAGCTGATACCCAGACAATTAAGGAACTGCAAGCTCTTAAAAAGGAAGTCAAATGATAAACTTAGAAAAAGCACTGAGCTTTTTTAGAATGTATGTAAGGGTGGACTGAAACATCAACATAACCATCAAGGTTAGGCAAACCCATTGAGGTAGTCTACACCTACGTGCATCAGCACCCGAGTCGGCTTTGTATTACAGGCATGCCACTGGAGTCTATAAGCTCCTCCAAAGCCTGGAGTATGCAATGTTCTGTACATCAATTACTCCCATACTGTTACTTGAGTCCATGAAAACTTTGTGTGCTAGACTAGGTTGAAAAGAATGAACAGTTACTTTAAGTTAATAATGATGTGAAAATGTAATTTTTGCTTGAGGCATAACTATATCGGTTCTCCCACCTGTCCACACATTTATCTTGCCCTCCTCCTTAGACCTATGCCAAAGATCTATTGTTGCCCCTAATGCAGGCCCAGTGTGAGGGGGCTCCAGGAATGTACTAGGAGTCAGAAAGCCAATCTGATTTTCAAACTGTGAGGGCAAAATCTAAAAGTGAATAATAAAGATCAATTGCTCATGAGAGGACTAAAAAGCCAAATAGGTTAAGCCAGACAGGTGTCTATATTAAGGTGTAAAGGCTTTGGAAACACTACCCTGAGTGCAAATCCTAACTCCAGCTCTCAGTAACTGAGTGGAAGGAAGAAAAAAACAAAAACAAAAAAGTCCTCAGTTTTTCATGTATAAAATGGGGCAAATACTAATGGCCCTAAGGATAAAATTATGCGGATCAGATAATGTACTTTTCATGCATCTACATCATAGTAAACAGTAGCTCTTAGTACTAATTGGCACCCTCAGGCCTGAGTTTTTGTTTTTGAAAACATCTAGTATTCAATTCCAGAAACAGAAATGTACTTTCGCTATATTTTAGTTGCTAACACTAAGGCTCTATGGTTTAGTTTTTAATATTTTAGTTTGGTTGCTAACAAAGTTTTTCACTCCTCCGTGGTAGGCAGTGACCAAGTATCTCAGTTCTGATTTAATATTTTGGCAAAAAAAGCAAATATTCTCCCTTGAAAACCAGCTACACAGACGACTGATTCAAACTGTCACTCAAGAAAAAAAAAAAACCCTCACTAGCGATGTTCATTCTAGGAAATAAAAGCGTTTAATCAATTCACAGAGCCATTCCCATTCAAACATTCCAAACCCCGCAGAGTGAACAAAAGTTCAAGTTTCCACTACGAAAACAATCTGTAGCCTTCTGGTTACTGGATTCACTTCAACACTTCCCAGACGCACGAAAGAAACATTTGCTTATCTTCGTACCTCCTGCTCCTCACACAAAGCTGCTCAGCTCCTCTTCCAAAGCTACCGCTGGCTGGAGAAGCAGCCCCTCTCGGCGCGGTCGGCCCTGCTGACCCACGGGTCTTAACCACACGTCGCCCCCTCCACCACTCCGGGAAGCCCTGGAGGCTCAAAGCTCGCACCCTGCGCAGGGAGCCTCCTCCGCTCCGGGCCCCAGGAGCCTCGCGTACCAACCCACTGTGGGTGGGGTGCCCGGAACACCGCCACGCAGCGCTCTGGCGGAGGCCAGTCCCGGCCAGCCTCACAGCTCTCGCCCACTGGCTCCCCAAAGGGCAACCCCCGATCTCGGACCGCTCCGGCGACGCCACCTTCACCGGGGAGTCGAGAGCGGGATCAGCCGCCAGCTGCCAGGCACCCGCGCTGGGACACACGCCCCCGCCCCGCCTTCCCTCCCCGCGCGTGGATCGCGTGGCGACAACCCGATCTGAAAAGCCCAGCCCCGGCTCAGGCGCCGCCACCTGCGCCCCCGGCCCCGCGCCATGTTTGAGAAAGAGAAGGAGTGAGCCAGAGGCCGGGCCCGGCCCGCGCGCCCCGCACCCTCCCGCGCGCCCCGCAGCCGCCCGCCAGCCCTGCCACTCACCCGTCGCCCCCGGGACCAGCGTCGCCGCCGCCGCCGCCAGCACAAGGGGGAACAGCAGGGGACGAGGAGCAGCGGCAGCCGCTTCCATGGTCCCGCCGCCACAGCCTGTGGCCCGGCCCGGCCGCCGCCTCTCCTTAGCAAGCCTCGCCTCGCCCCACCTCCCCCGCCGCCGCGGCGGCCTCGCTCCGGCCCTTTGTAACTGCTCGGGGGCGCGCGTCCATTGGCTGCCGGGCTCCCGCCGGCCCCGCCTCCTGGCCGAGTGAGAGCCGCTGAGCGGGACACAGCCCGGAGCCCCGCCTGCGGGTCCGCTGGGAAGCCAATCCAGAGCCGCGGGGGCCCAGCCTCTGGCCACGCCCCCCAGACTCCCCGGAGTTCTTGCAGCCAGACCCCTGCCCCAGACCGAGCAACCCCGGGCTTGCTGGACGACGTAGGGCCAGGGTCCAAACTACCCCGGGCGCTGGTCCCAACAGTCCCAAAGGGCCAGGGCTGAACGATGGGTGTGTCTGGGTGTGAGTCGCTTTCGGAAAAAGGCTGTGGCAACTGGACGCTCTTTTCTTCTAGCCTCCTCTAGATACCCAAGATCTAGTACTGATCCCAACACAACCCCGACACATTCGCCCAGATCCGCAGTATCACGCAGGCTTCAACTTCCCCTCCCCAGATCCATGCCTCAACTTTCAACATCTCCCCCAAGATGCTTCCCCAGTGCCCTTCCTATACGAATCAGTCTCCTGTTTCCTCCCGCTGTCAGCGTCTACTCCCAACCTAAGCACCCTCCGCCAAATTTCAGGCCCATCAAGTCCCCAAATCTTGGCCTCAGATACCGAGCCTCAGGCTTCAGATCCTGAGATCAGACGTACCCCTGAATAGCCTCTGGCCTCCCTCTGTAACTCAGAGCAGACCCAGAACGGGACATCAAACCACATTCCTTCTCTCTCACCCTTTTGTGATTCGGGTGAGACTGTAAAGGTCCCCACTTCCACCTCCAAAATAGGAGGACTCCCCTTAGAACGCAGCACCCTGGGGCGGAGGGGAAGCAGTCATTACTTTGAGCTGCCTCTGACAAGCCTGCACAATAATTTTGAGGTGTCACTGGAAACCCAAATAAACTCGGCTACGTTTTCATTCTGAATTTCTAATTTACTGTGAGACTGTGAGACGCTCCACCCACCTTCCCTCTGGGATGCCAAAATGAGCTCCAGATTTGTAATTCCTCCTGTCAGACTAGTCCTCTCTTCCGATACAAACACTGCCTAGGAGGCTGTAACATCGAACAGAAAACATTTTTTCCACAGAACCTTTTAAGGTGAAAACTTTATTTTCTGTGTGATTCGAAGATGGAAGGAAATAAACTTTGGTAGCAGGAATCAGAACCAGCCTGCCGTTTGTAAATTACTTGTACCTGCTCCTAAGCGGCAGAGGGGCAGGGTTGGGGGTGTTGCCTCTGGGATCTGAGACCTGCCCTATTCCCTTCCTGGCTAGGACATTTACTTGAGCAAGTCAGTTCCCCTTTCTGAGCCTCCATTTCTTCATCTATAAAGTGGAAATAATATGTACTGCCCAAGGTTAGTGAAAGAATATAAGATATTGGGGTTCCTCCAGACTCCTGACCTGCTCCTCTCCTCTGGACTGTTAAGGGCCTGGTATACACTGAACGACCTAACAAGGAATGCAGCTACTGCTAAAACCAAGAACTGCCTGCTCTCTGGGGCTGCTGGAGACCATCAGCAGCAAGCTCTCCTGTTGCTCTGGGCAGCAAGCAGACCAAGCCTGAAGAGACCGCTTCTGGAAGCCTCCAGTCCCAATCTGCTGTCTCATTTCCAGTTTCTTCAATGGAGACTTGGCGAGCAAGTCAGAGCCTTGTGACAGCTGAAGTCTCTAGACTGCTTTTTCTCTGCTCGATTCTCAGTAGCACACATAAGAGATATTTGTTGTATGGATAGATGAATGAATGAATGAATGAATGATTCAGCTCAGGCAAGTGACTGTTTTTCTCTTATCATTAGGTTCTTCATCTCTAAAATGAAAATATAATAGTTCCTACCTCATTTATAAATTTTTTAAAAATTGAATCACATGTCTTGGGCCACTTACATGACATAATATGTCTGGAACAGTATCTGGAACATAGCAAATATTTAGTTAATGTCATTTCCTTTGCCCATCTCCTTCCAGCTCTGTAGGATTTTAATCAGCATTCATGTTCATGGTAATCTGTGCCTTTTTCTTACAGAGAGCGACAGTTGATCAGTGTTAGGATATCTTCTATGACACACTTTTAGTTCCTTAACTTTTTCCATGGAATTGAGTGTGTTCATTAGGAAACTGAGGAACAGAAAAAAGAAATGAGCTATTTTTAAATTTTATTTTCCTGATATTATGAGGAAATTTCCATGAGCCATAGATCCATAAATAAACTACATTAAAATGGAACAATAATTATAAGTTTAAAATCACAGTTCCCAAACTTTAAAATGTCTTCAAATTACCGGGGAAGATTTTAAAAATGCAGATTCCTGGAGTCAACCCTAGAGAGTCTGCTTCAGTTCTTCTGAAGCAGGTCCAGGAGTCTGCTTTTGTAATATACCCCAGGTGATTCTGCTGCAGGGGTCACTGGGCCACACTTCAGAAAGCACAGTCTAGAAAGTGCGACCTTAAAGTTCAATAACTAAAAATGCGCCCTTTTGAGAAAGGGTGGGCAATGGAAGAAGCTTCCGGCTTTGGTGGCCTGCAGACCCCCCTTGGAATTCTGCCGTTTACTAGACCTGGGATATGCACACACTACTTGACCTTTCTGAAATTTCTCATCCCCCAGTATAAAATGGGATAGACTCATATTTTGTCTTAAAAACTAAATGAGCTATTGCACGTGAATCTATCATAAATGTTAATTCCCTTTACGGTCTCTCCAGGCGCTCAAAAAGGCTTACAGGTGTTTACTCCAACGTCTTGATTTAAAGGGGAAAAAACTGAGGACCATTCCCCAGGTCATCAAGGGCAGAGCCAGGATTAGGAGGCTCTCAGGCCAGCAGCAGCCTTGTTCCTTACTACTTCTCAGTCTTTATGCCGACTACATTGTTTCCTTTTCCTTTTGGTTTATTTCATTAAGTAAAATGTTTTCTTCCAAATACAGAGCAGACACTGATTGCTGGTTGTCTAACCTATGTCTATTCCTATATTCACTTTATAACAGAATCCTCATTTCCTTTGGGAAAGCAGTTCACCAACTAAAAATCTCAGTTTCCCAGGCTTCAGGCACTTAGATATGGCCATGTGACAGAGTTTGGGTTAGTGAAACATAAGGAGAAATCTACCAGGTAGAGCTTGTGGGAAAGATACTGTTTTCCCCGCAAAGAAGACTAATCTCCTTCTCTGCTTCTTTCTGCCTGGAATATAATTGCAATGCTTGGAGACGCAGCAGCCATCTCGTGAACTTAAGGATAATGATGTCCGTAACTAGATACAGTATAGAGAAAAAGGGAGAAAGTCCTTGATTAATTCCTTAAGCAACTGTACCAGCTCTAAAATGCGTACCCCCAGAGTTCTTATTATGTGAGAAAATAAATGCCTTTTATTTAAACTTTAGACACTTCAATTCTAGTCATATGCTAACTATTGTTGCATATTTTATTTCTATCTTATTTTTTAACCCACAAGATATTGATTTATATCATTATTATCTATTGCTAACTCTTGGTGCTCCTGACTGAATGACCAATCACTTCAAAATTTAGTGGTTTGGAATAATAACCATATATTATTTCTCATGAGACCATGGGTAGGCTGGGCAGTTTTTCTGGTCTAGGGAAATTTAAATTGATCTCAGCTGAACTCACATATGAGTCTGCAGTCAGGTGGCAGGTCAACTGGGAGATGAGCAGATCTATAATGATCTAGAGCAGTTCCTCCATGTGATTTTTGATCCTCCAGTTGGCTAACGTAGGCTTGTTAACATGACAGTTTAGGAGGGGACCAAGATAATAAATGGAAGTTTTCAACTGGCACGACATCATTTCTGCCACATTCCATTGTTTTGGGCATGAATTGGGTCAAGGCCAAATTCAAAGAGTAGGGAAATAGACTCCGTCTCTTCACAAAATCACATTGAAAAGGGGCATAAGGACCAGAAGAGTTAGTAAGTGTGGCCATGGCCATTTTTGCAAACAATTTCACCACTTTTTCTATTTTTTTTAACCTTAGACTTTCCATTTCAAATCACTTTCATTCTGCCTGAAGTATACCCTTTGGAATTCCCTTGAGTGAACGTCAACTAGTGGCAAACAATCCTAGTTTCTATATTTAGTCCTTATTTTTGGACAGTGTTTTCACTGGATATAGAATTCTGAGTTGATGATTGTTTTCCCTCAAATACTCTAGATGTCTTTCCACTGTCTCTGGCTTCCATTGTTGTTTATGTGAAATCAGATATCAATCTATTTCTCCTTTGTAGGCAATTTGTCTTTTCTCTGTCTGCTTTTTAAAAAATAGACTTTATTTTTAAGAAATAAAATATAAATAAGTTAAATTATAAATAATAAATAAAAATTTATTTTTTATGTTCACAGCAAAACTGAGCAGAAATTACAGAGTTCCCACATAGCCCCTGCCCCCACCAATGCACGGTCTCCCCACCCCATCAATATCCCTGACCAGAGTAGCACATTTGTTACAATTGATGAACCTACATTAACACATCATTATCAATCAAAGTCCATAGTTTACGTTAAAATTCACTCTTGGTGTTGTACATTCTGTGGGTTTGGACAAGTGCATGACATGTACGTACCTTTATAATATCTATCAAATGGAGTAGTTTCACTGCCCTAAAAATTCTTTGTCGTCGGCCTACTCATCCCTCCCTCCCTAACTCTTGTAAACCCCTGGGTTGTTTCTTTTTTTAACGTCTCCATAGTTTCGCCTTTTTCAAAATGTCATATAGTCAGAATCAAACAGTATATAGTCTTCTAAGACTGGCTTCTTTCACATAGTAATATTTAAGTTTCCTCGATGTTTTTTCATGGCTTGATAGCTCATTTCTTTTTAGCACTCAGTAATATTCCATTGTATAGATTTACTCCAGCTTATCCATTCAAATTCACTTGCTGTAGGACTACTTGGTTACATCCAAATTTTCATTATGGATAAAACTGCTATACACA